AAAAGTCAGTGTGACTTATTTCCAGTACCTGGCTTGGGCTTGCCATATATGATTTTTGGTAAATATTTTTTTTTTCTCGGTTGTTTGTTGGGCTATCTCATTGAAACTTGGGCAATGTATGGTGGAAAGATGCTTCTTAACGTACAACAAAAATAAAAAAGACAGACGATGAATAAGGGAGTTCACTTCTCAGCTATTAGCCGCCTCTTTGCAGTATATTTTCGTTTGGTTTTTATGGTTGTATTCTCATTTTTTGGACTCATTTGATAGAATGGAAGATATATTACAGAAATAGACATGGTTTTGATTGCTTTCATGACGAAAAGTACCTTGAAATTGAGCTCAAAGTAGCGGAAATGTTCGATTTTTTCCGATGTTCAATGAACTGTGTAAGTCAAGTTGGTTAATTTTATTAAGTGTATTCTAACTTAACCACTGTGTAATTCGGCAAACTCAGTAATCCGGCACACTACAGGTCCCAATGATGCCGGATTTGTGATGGAGGACCTGTACAAGCATATATATACACACCCCTCTGGGTTTTCTTCTATTTTCTTTCTAGTTCTTATTCTTGTTTATTTCCTCTTATCTCCATGGGGAAGTGGAACAGAATTCTTCCTCCGTAAGCCAAGCGTGTTGTAAGAGGCGACTAAAATGCTGTTAGCAAGGGGCTAGTAACCTCTTCTGTATATATTACTAAATGTAAAAGGAGAAACTTTCGTTTTTCCTTTTGGGCCACCTCGCCTCGGTGGGATATGGCCGGTGTGTTGAAAGAAAGAAGAAAGAAATAATGAGTGTACTGTATATGCATATTATCTCCCTAGGGCAGTGTAAATGTCATAGTATATTACGTGTGGGTGGGGTGACCTGGCTGGCTACCATACCTCCTACACCAGACTTCCTACAAATAAATACTACTTGCCTCTCACCCTACATTAAGACTATAAATATTTTAAGTAATGAATGTACTGTTTATGCATTTTATTGCTCTGGGGTGCTTTGAATGTCATAGTATATTGTGTGTGGGTGGGGTGTCCTGGCTGGCTACCATACCTTCCAAACCCGACTTTTTAAAATAAATACTACTCACCTCTCACCCTATGTTAAGACTACAAATATATTAAGTTAAGTAATGAGTGTACTGTTTGTGTGTTTTATTTTCATTGTTTTTAATGCCTAGTTCTATTGCTAACTTAATACAGTGGACCCTCGACCAATGATGGCATCGACTAACATTAAATCCGACCAGCGATACATTTTAACGCAAAAATTTTGCCTCGACTAGCGCTAAAAAACTCTACCAACACTATTCGTTCTGTCTGAGACGCGTCCACTTATGGCCAGTGTTTACAAGCCAGCCAGCCATCATGGTCGCTTCCAAGCATACAATCGGAACATTTCATATTATCACAGCCTTTTTAGTGATTGCACCTGCAAAATAAGTCACCATGGGCCCCAAGAAAGCTTCTAGTGCTAACCCTACAGCAAAAAGGGTGAGAATTACTATGGATATGAAGAAAGAGATCATTGCTAAGTATGAAAGTGGAGTGCGTGTCTCCAAGCTGGCCAGGTTGTACACAAAACCCCAATCAACCATTGCTACTATTGTGGCCAAGAAAACGGCAATCAAGGAAGCTGTTCTTGCCAAAGGTGCAACTATGTTTTCAAAACTGAGATCGCAAGTGAAAGATGTTGAGAGACTTTTATTGGTGTGGATAAACGAAAAACAGATAGCAGGAGATAGCATCTCTCAAGCGATCATATGTGAAAAGGCTAGGAAGTTGCATGAGGATTTAATTAGAAAAATGCCAGCAACTAGTGGTGATGTGAGTGAATTTAAGGCCAGCAAAGGTTGGTTTGAGAGATTTAAGAATCGTAGTGGCATACATAGTGTGATAAGGCATGGTGAGGCTGCCAGTTTGGACCAAAAAGCAGCTGAAAAATATGTGCAGGAATTCAAGGAGTACATAGACAGTGAAGAATTGAAACCTGAACAAGTGTTTAATAGTGACACTGACAATGTTGTGAAACACTTTAGGAATGTCATAAAGGAACGGGAGGTACAGGCCTCTATGGACGGATATGTTGTGCGACAGAGGTCCAGTGACTCTCAAGCTGGTCCTAGTGGCATTAAAAGAAGAAGGGAAGTAACCCCGAAAAAGGACTTGCCACCTCAAGTCCTAATGGAAGGGGATTCCCCTTCTAAACACTAACACCATCAACACTCTCCCCTCCTCCCATCCCATCAATCATCACCAGATCTTCAATAAAGGTAAGTGTCATGTAACTGTGCATATCTTCTTTAGTTTGTGTGTATTAAAATTAATATTTCATGTGGTAAATTTTTTTTTTTCAATACTTTTGGGTGTCTTGCACGGATTAATTTGATTTCCATTATTTCTTATGGAGAAAATTAACTTGACTAATGATAATTTCGATTAACGATGAGCTCTCAGGAACGGATTAATATCGCTGGTCGAGGGTCCACTGTATATGTTAGTATAATCTTGCTATCTGGCATTTTTATGCATTTATAAGTGGAAAAAATGGCGTTCTGCTTTCCGGCGATGTCCCCTTTCCAGTGGTAGCCTGGAACCTAACCTGCTGTATGAGTGGGGCCCAACTGTATCTGTTCCCTGTGTGGATAGCTAGTTTTGGTGGACAGTTGGAGTCCCACACCACCAAGGACTTTTAGCACAAAACAAGTGGCAGTAAAAAATTAAAATGGTAACTAAGCATTTATGTTGAAAAGTAATAGTATTAACATTATAGTTTGTTGGGGTTGTGAAAATGTTCAGCTTAAGGAAGTAGATGTGTTGATGGAGAGGGAGAGGTAAGTGGATGAGAGGACACTTATCACTCCACCAGTGACTTGGTACACCTCGCACCCCCAGGCATATAAGGTGTTTAACTTTTTCTTTCAAAGTTACTACTGTGTGTATATTTGTTAAATCATTCAGGAGTGTAATTTCAGTGGTACCCTGAGTTTCGGCCACTCCCAACTCGAACAATTATGTAAGTGTATTATTGTAAATGCTTTTGTAAGTGTATTTTTGGGGGTCTGAAACAGACTCGTCTAATTTACATTATTCCTTATGGGAACAAATTTGTTCAGTAACGGCACTCGAGCAGCCTTTTGGAACGAATTGTGGCTGAAATTCGAGATTCCACTGTACTTAATTGAGTTTGGGGAAGGGGAGGGTGAGCTCCAACTTTAAGCTTCTTCCACTGCATTATTGTTCAGCTCATTTTGCCTATTTCTTCACTTTTGCATTGTGAAATATTTCCTAATGTGTACAGATGTAGGGGTTGCAATTAGATCTAGACAAGCAGACCATGAAAATCGAGGGGTATGGCACCTGTTTATAACACTTCACACTTGCTTTTTTTTTTTGTAGCAGAGTAAACTTGTACTGCAGTTAACCTCTTGACTGTCGCAACCCCCAATCCTGAGATGTCTCCTGGTGTTGCAAAATTTAAAAAAAAAAAAAGAAAAATTATTTTTTCTAATGAAATTATAGAGAATCTTTTCCCGATTGTAATAACACCAAAAAACCGAAATTTGATGGAAAACCGAAGGAATTACGCTCTCGCGAAGTTAGCGACCACGGTGATATTTACAAATCGGCGATTTCGCCCACTTTGAGCCCTATTTTCGGCTAATTTCATTGTTCCAGTTGACTAAACTCATAGCTATTTCTTTAGAACTCCATTTTTTCTATTGATTGAGTACAAGAAACTGCCCATTTACCGATTTCAACTACCCAATAACATGGTCAGAAATTTGCAATTTGGCCAATTTCACGAAAATTAAAAAATATGACAATTTCAAAATAAGGTCCAGAATTAACAATGCAGACATTCCTGGCTCTAAAATAACATTTTCTTTGTTCATCAGTCATGTCTCCAGGCCCTTCTGATATTACTCTTGCTTTCTATTTTGATTTTTTATTCAAACAAAAATTAGAAGATTTACTGTTATGCCGACTACTGCAGTATTGTAATAATTGTACAAATAATGTCAACCCGTTCATGACTGCATATTAGAATGGCTAGTTGGACATTTACTGGACAATGACATCATTTGTTTACTTTTGAACATTGGTAAAAATCAAACATTTCCCCTACTTTGAGCACCATTTCCAGGTTTTTTTTTATAGTAAAACCAATCAAAATCTCCTCTATTTCTATAATATGTTTTCCATTCTATCAAATGAGACCAAGAAAACGAGAATACAACCATAAATACTATACAAAAATAGACCACAAGGTCGGCATTTTAATTAAAAAAAAAAACGGTCAGAGTTTTATTTTTCTTATTATGCACTGCATGCTCCAGGATTTTTTTTTATATGGTGCACACTGACCACACAGACCAGTTCTCTCACATGTGGGCCTACCAGCTTTCTCCTGCTTGATTTGAAGCCTCTAGAATTTATAAGTATATATACGTCAAACACGGTACCTTGTGAGACGTATATATATGACCGAAACAGTCAAAGGGTTAAGCTTTACTGCTTACTCATCATTTGTGATAAGTAATAAAACATGCTTTATAATGCATATCATCATGATAATGTTTATGATAGGTAAGCAAGATAAATTTGATAAATAAGAGTTGCTGGTGATGGAGTACTAGGGTTAGGGCAGTAAGAGGTCCACATGTTGTGAATACCTTTGCTGATAAAACTACCACACTCAATTTTGCCCCATGAATACCTTTGAAGAATGAGACCTTCTCTTCTGCCTTTTCCTGTTATTTCATACCATATTTCTTTAATCTCTTCACTCTTACTACTGCATAATTTTTCTCCTTAAATAAATTGTTCTGATTTTGTAGGTAAGATTATTAAAGATACTACAACTTAACAAATCTCATTTGTTGACTGTCAGTTTAAATCCCCCCTTTTTAGTAGCATTTCTCCTTTATTTGATGAGAACTTTTATCCTGAATTGCTTTTGTTTTAATTTTTATTAATATGATTTTAACATTCCATTAGATCGCAAACAGAGCTCATCTAGTTATGATGAACTAAAAAGAAAGAGCGGCTCTGGTTCACTAACTAGGAGAGGGTCTTTAGAGCGGAGAAGTTTCAGTGAAAAGAGGAGAAGCTGGTCACCGGAGGAGTTTGGTGCCTGCCTTGATTCCTTTCGGCCTGTGACCCTCACCGTGTCATCATTTTTCAAACAGGTAGGCATCTCATTTTTACAATAGATAATTATTTAAAGTTATCCTTCAGTTTTTTGTTAAAGTGGAAACACATGTTTTCTATACTCAGTGACTTGTTTTTGTGAGTGTGATATACTGTACTTATGTTAATAAGTTGAATTTTGACATGCTTCATGTTACAGTATTGAACACTGAAATTAATTGACCATATTCACAAGAGGGGTTGCTGAGGTGGTTTGGGCATTTAGAGAGGTAGAGAAGAATAACATGACCAAGAAATTGTTTAAATTTGGATTGGAAGGTAGGAGGGAAAGGGGTCGTCCTAGAACGAGTTGGGGAGGGAAGCAGTAAAGGAGGTTTATCATTGGCTCTTTAATTAGTAAGGATTCAGAGCTCTAGTTAGATACTAATTACGGATAAGACATTAATTACAGATGAGTAAGGAAAACCTAAAATAACTACCAGTCATGGCAAAATGAATGCTACAATCAGGCTAGGCTACCCATAGTAAGGCGTTAGAAACCCAGTTTTGCTGAAATTTCATAATATAGTAACTGAATCACTTCTTATCAGGGTAGCCACATTAGTGAGAATGAACCCCTATGAAATTAAGTGTCCCAGTGAAAAAGGCTATGAAATTTTGCACGAAGATGAATCCATATTAACCTTGACAGTAACATTAAGTACACTGTGAAGGGATAATAAGGTGGAGTGCTTCTTTGTAAGCCATGCGTGTCATAAAAGGCAACTAAAATGCTGATAGCAAAGGGCAAGTAACCCTTTATTCTGTATTCAGTTAATAAAAAAAGTCAAAGTAGAAAAATGCTGTTATATATAAAATAAGGATTAAATTCAATTTATATTCCTGGAAATACATCCATGGTGTAAATTGTTAATCCTATCCTGGCAACTGTTTTACACTAAGTTACTGGTTACTGAGGCATGTTACTTTATGTAGGTGATATATAAAAGGAATTTTCTTTAGGGTGTATGCATCTTCCCTTTTTTTTCATGCTTCATACTGCTTTGTTGCTTACTAATGTGATTTGTTTATAATGATGGCACCAGTCTTTATTTGAGGATAATGATATATAGGTGGCAATCCAAAACACTTGTGTAAGACTGGTGATAATTACATTTGGTGAATAGTGATTGATCTGTGCTAGAGTGTAATGCTTGTTATGTACTTCCCTTACCTAACTAAACAGACTTGAGAAAGGTATTTAAAAAAAAAATGAACAAACAGTAGGACATATTTATTGATTCTAGGACCTTGCCTGAGTGTTTGCTAACATATCTTGTTAAGCCACTTGTTGGTATCAAGTGTTTGAGAGGGTTGTGCTTAAGCTTCCTGATACTGACTTGTTAATACAGCAACTTGCTTCCACACCCATTAATCTTTTTTTCCCCCATTTCTCCCCCACTCATAAATATTTTTATCCCCACCCTTCCAATTTTCCTACTTACCTAACTCATTCCATATCATTCCTTATTTTTCCCAACACACACCAACACTAATTACTTAGTTTACTACAGTTTGGAGGATATGAAAGCTGGGAAGTAAATTTAAGATTTAATTCCTACTAAAGTTTTTCTCTGGCTATTCAGAGATAAGGCATAAAGTTATTAGAGGCCATAAATACCTCAGCAAGTTGTGGTTGAAATATATCTACAGTAGTTGTTTATGAGATGCATTCTTTACAGTAACTTTTTTAATATAGTGAAATGGTAATATAAGTTGAAAATTTTCAGGAAGGGGATAAACTACGTGATGATGATCTCTACAAATTCCTTGCCGATCTCAAACGTCCCTCAAATCAGTTAAAGAAGAAATGTTTACCAGGCTTGCTCAAGTTGGACATTTCACCAGTGCGTGACCAGCCCAAGTACTGTCTCACGCCAGAGCTTGTTAAACTTCATCCCTATCCAGGTAAGAAAAATATTTCTTTATTTATAATTTCTTTTATAGCTTTTATATTACTCCATAAACTCAAGATACAGTACTTAACATGATAAAAATAATAAGTGTTGATGATAAATACAGTATACCCTCTTATATAGTGACATCACTTAATGCAACTTTGTGTATAAATGATTGAAAAGTGCATCTAAAATTTCATAGCATGAAATAAGCTTCATAATATTTGCCATAAATTTAAATAAATTAAATAACATGTGATATTTGGCTAGGATGCTCCCTAAATTTTTATAATCTGCTTACCAAGCTTTGAGTGGTGCCTCCCAGCCTTCCAGGTGTTCTTGTTTGACAATAGGAAGTTAGCGCCTTAAGACAACATTTTTCTTAATTTTCTTTTTTTTCAAAATTTATGTAACATGAATGCTTAATTTAAATGAAAGATCTGTAAAAAAATCTTGATGAGAATCTTCAGTGCATTAATATCAACAAACCACAACCTAGGCTGCATTTGGGCCAGGTAAGGTTGAAGCAAGTCAAATGAGTTGAAACTTAGGTATAGAAAGTTCATGCGAAGTTAAGGCTGGGAAGGTTACATTTGATGTGGTCAGGTAAGATTAAGTCGAGGATGGTCTTATTTAAATAATAGAGAGTAGGATGGAATGTGACTTATTAAAAAAAAATGTGTGTTAATTTGGTTTGGTGATACTAAGTGTACAGGGTACACAGTATATAGGACATATATATAGTAGGTAGTAGGTTGGTAGACAGCAATCACCCAGGGATGTACTACCATCCTGCCAATTGAATGTAAAATGAAAGCTTGTAATTGTTTTACATGATGGTAGGATTGCTGTTGTCTTTTTTTCTTTCTCATAAACATGCAAGATTTCAGGTACGTCTTGCTACTTCTACTTACACTTAGGTCACACTACACATAGGTGTACATGTTTATGTATACAAACTCATCTGAGTTTTCTTTGATTTTATCTTAACACTTCTTGTTCTTATTGCTTTTCCTTTCATATCCATGGGAAAGTGGAATAAGAATCTTTCCTCTGTAAGCCATGCATGTTGTAAAAGTCAACTAAAATGCCAGGAACAATAGGGTAGTAACCCCCTTTTCCCATATAGCCTACTAAAACGAAAAAGAAGAAAACCGTCAAAGTGGGATGTTTGAATGTGTGTGGATGTTGTGTGAATGATAAGAAAGAGATGATTGTGGATGTTATGTATGAGAAGAAGCTGGATGTCCTGGCTTTAAGTGAAACAAAGTTGAAGGAGGTGGGAGAGTTTCAGTGGGGAGAAATAAATGGGATTAGGTCAGGGATTTCAAATAGAGTTAGAGCTAAAGGAGTAGTAGCAATAATGTTGAAGGAGAAGTTATGGGAGGAAAAGAAGGAATATAAATATATAAATTCAAGGATTATGCTGAGTAAAATAAGGGTTGGATGTGAAAAGTGGGTTATAATAAGCATTTATGCACCTGGAGAAGAAAGTAGTGTAGAGGAGAGAGAGAGAGAGATTTTGGGGAATGTTGAGTGAATGTGTGGAGTGTTTCGAACCTAGTGAGAGTACTTGTGGTTGGGGATCTCAATGCTAAAGTGGATAAAAATATTGTGGAGGTAATAGTAGGTAAATTTGGGGTGCCAGGGGTAAATGAAAATGGGGTGCCTTTAACCCTTCGGGGGTTTCGGATGTACTAGTACGTCTTACGACCCAGGGTTTTTGACATACTAGTACGCCTAAATTCTAGCGTCCTCAAATCTAGTGAGAGAAAGCTGGTAGGCCAACATATGTAAGAATGGGTCTATGTGGTCAGTGTGCGTAGTATAAAAAAAATCCTGCAGCACACAGTGCGTAATGAGAATAAAAAACTTTGACCATGTTTTTGGATTAAAACAGCGACTTTGCACTGTATTTTTTATGGTATTTATTGTTGTATTCTAGTTTTCTTGGTCTCATTTTATAGAATGGAAGACATATTCCAGAAATTGAGATGATTTTGACTGGTTTTGCAATGAAAAGTACTTTGAAATTGAGCTCAAAGTAGCAGAAATGTTAGATTTTTACAAAAGTTCAAAAGTAAACAAATCATGCCAAGCGTCCAATACACGTCAACTGGTGAGTCTGATATTCTTTCACAAGTGTGCTGATATTATTTATACCATTTCTACACTAATGCAGCAGTCTGCATAGCAGTAAATCATATTTTTTTTTGTAAGAATAAAAATTCAAAGTGGAAAGCCAAAGAAATATAAGAGGGGTCTGGGGATGTGACTAACGAACAGAGAACTTGTTATTTTAGTGACAGGAATGTCTTTCTTGTTTATTCTGGACCCTACTTTGAAATTGGCATCTTTTGAAATTTGTGTGAAATTGGCAAAATTGCTAAATTCTAACCACTTTATTGGATAGTTGAAATTGGTAAATGGGTAGTTTCTTGTACTCATTTGATAGAAAAAATGGAGTTTTAGCGAAATTGTTATGATTTTTGTCGACAAGTATACTGGAATTGGCTGAAAAGAGGGCTCAAAGTGGGCAAAATCGCCGATGTGTAAACATCGTCGAGACTGCTAACTTCGCGAGAGCATAATTCCGTAAGTTTTCCATCAAATTTCATACTTTTTGTGTCATTATGATCGGGAAAAGATTCTCTATCTTTTCATAAGATTTTTTTTTTTTTTTTTTTGAAATTTGGGCGACCCTGAGAACAAGTCTCTGAGAGGACCTGTCGGCCCCCAAAGGGTTAATTGAGCTATGTGTAGAAAGAGGTTTGGTAATAAGTAATATATATTTTATGAAAAGAGGATAAATAAGTATATGCACACGGTATGATATAGTACGTAATAAAAGTGTAGTTTGTTAGATTATGTATTGGTGGATAAAAGGTTGATGGGTCGGCTTCAGGGTGTACATGTTTATAGAGAGAGAGAGAGAGAGAGAGAGAGAGAGAGAGAGAGAGAATGAGGGAATGAGAGAATGAGAGAGAGAGAGAGAGAGAATGAGAGAGAGAGAGAATGAGAAAAAATGAGAGAATGATAGAAAAAGAATGAGAGAGAATGAGAGAGAGAGAGAGAATGAGAATGAATAAATGAATTCTGCAGTGTATAATACATGTTGAGCTGTCTGTCTGTCTGTCTGTTTGTCTGTCTGTCTGTCTGTCTGTCTATCTCTCTCTCTCTCTCTCTCTCTCTCTCTCTTCTCTCTCTCTCTCTCTCCTCTCTTCTCCTCTCTCTCTCTCACTCTCTCTCCTCTCTTCTCTCTCTCTCTCTCTCTCTTCTCTCTCTGTCTTTCTCTCTCTCTCTGTCTTTTCTCTTCTCTCTGTCTTTCTCTCTCTCTCTCTCTGTCTCTCTCTCTCTCTCTCTCTCTCTCTTCTCTCTTCTGTTCCTCTCTCTCTCTGCCTCTCTCTCTCTCTCTCTGTCTCTCTCTGTCCATCTCTCTCTTCTCTCTGTCTTTTTTTTTTTTTTTTTTTTTTACACCCGGATTTGACAAGGTTAAGGATCCCTAGCTTTATTGACTTAGCTATTTACAGGTTAAGGATTCTCTAACTTTATTGGCAAGCTAAGAGCTGTTACCTACATCAGCTCATTTGAAAGCAGTTTTATTGTTATGAGACATACAAGTAGGAACAGGATGAAGTTGGAGCCATCTGTGGGCCAGCATTTTCATTTGATCAACTGACGTTATATCTCGTTGACATCATTATGCTGTACGAATGTGTTCCATACTCGAGTCATCCTGGGTATGTATGATCTCAGATGGAGTGATGTTTCTGGAGAAGGGTACAGCCAGAGTGAAGTTGCTGCTTTCTGCCCGTCTTGTGGCATAAAAGCTTGTTTCACGCTGTCCTCGAAGTGGATCCAAGTGTGGTATTTTGACAATATTGGCCTTGTACATAACAGTAAGGCCACCCACATCCCTCCTATGTTGAAGGCTCTGCTGAAATGACAGATCTATCCAGGATGGGTCCAGGCGAGAGATGAGACGTCTTGCTCTGTTCTCTACTCTGTCAAGCAGTCGCAGATGAGAGGGGGGCAGGCAAACCAAGAAAGTGGAGCATACTCAAGGTGTGAGCGTACTTGTGCCTCGTACAGGATCTTGCAACCCCTACTGTCAAGCAGATGCGAGATACGGCGAAGTGCTGTAAGCTTCCTGGCTGCCTTGTTTGCAAGATTTACAACATGGTTCTTCATGGTTAGTTTGGAGTCAAATTTCACCCCAAGGATATCAACTTCTTCTCCAGGTGCCAACATCGTCCCATTCATCCTTACTACTGCACCAGCATTACCATCATGGTGCCTAGAGACGATCATCATTTGCGTTTTCTCAGGTGCAAATGTTACTTGCCATCTATTTCCCCAAGCTGATATAGCTCTCAGCTGGTGATTGATGTAGCTTAGAGCAGCTGGCATTTCTTCTCTTGGATAAGTGAATGTCAGTGTACAGTCGTCTGCATATGCATGTGATTCTGGGATGAGATGAAGAAGGTCGTTGAAGTAGACATTCCATAACAGTGGACCCAGCACACTTCCTTGTGGAACGCTTGCCCCAATAGGATGCCTTGCTGATTCCGTTCCATTGAGGACTACACTTAGAGATCTACCATGAAGGTAATCACTGAGGAGACATAGCGTAGAGCCTGCAATTCCCAGTGCTTGAAGTTTTGCTAAGAGGCCCTGGTGCCACACCCGGTCGAAAGCGCCAGCAATGTCCAGTGCTACCACACAGCTGACTTTGGATTCATCCAGTGACTGGTGCCACTTAGTGGAGAGGTTTAACAACAGATCAGCAGCAGAGTAACCTTTCCTGAAGCCATATTGACGATCACAAAGTAGTGAGTGGTAGTCAAAAAAATCTGTCATTTGTCTTGAGATTATTGTCTCAAGGATCTTACCAGTGATTGACAGGAGTGACACTGGTCTGTAGTTGCTGATTTCTGCTCTGCTCTTCTTTTTGTGAACAGGGACTACATTTGCCTCTTTCCATGGAGAGGGCCATTTGCACTGTACTAG